CATGAAAAATACTTGGTCGGTCTGATAAAGCAAATGTGGTCCATAGTCCACAGTTGAAGGTGGAGTGCCCCATGATTATTGATTCAATTTCTAAATCATATAGATCCATTTTCGATCAAATTAATTTAATTATGTTTGTTTTATGATAATGATTATTTTAGAATTACTATTTGAATTTTTATGAACATTTGGATATTTTATTTATAATTTTTGGATTTATAAAATTAAAGATATTGATTTTACAATGTTTTAATATTCACTATCAATTATTTTTAAATGCATAAAAAAATAATCATGAGGGCCTATTATGCACATGTGCCCACTATTTTTTTGGAAGGTGGGGCCCACATGTGCCTTCCATGGGTGGCAATCCCCACCTCTTACTACTTTCTATTTTATGGAAAGTTTTGTTTTATGGTCCATGTGACCTTATGTTTTGGTAACTTTGAATTGTGACATGTGGTTAAATTATGGATTGAGTATGTATTGACCATATATTGACTTAATATTGAAGTAGATATTGACTTGATATATCTTTGATGGATTTTATGGAAAATATGTGCAGAGATGTACTATTTTATGGAATACATAATATTTAATTAAAATTAATTTTACTTATTTTATATTGATATGAAAATGGTTTAGAAAAAGGGGATAAGGGTTCATGCACTTTCCATAATGTTGATGACCCATCTATGAAATTGGTGGCTCAAATCTCTCACCCCACAAATCACGCTTGATCGATAGTTCATGTTCAATCTTATAAGAAGAGGAAAGCCAAGGAAAACCCTAAGAAACCCTAATCTTGTTCATGCTTATAAAAAAAAGATTGTCTCTACCAAAAATCTCTACACCTTATCTTTTTATCTCTCTCTTATGTTTGATCTTTCTCTCTCCCACATTGTGAAAAAGGGCTGCGGGATTAGGCTATGTAAATGATATAGTAAATCGTTTGAATGAATTGGGGAGTGTTTCTCTCTTTTTTCACTCTAGGGTTTCAAGTGTAACAGAAACTATCTAAGTGAAAGAAAGACCTATGTGATCTTTTGTCGGGAAATACAATTTTATTATAATTATTATTATTATTAATAACCACCCCTTATGTTTCGGCAACAAGATCACTCACAGATGGTCTTATTACAAACCATAGATGTTTCAAAAATAAATTGCACATCAATAAAATAAATCTCAACTACTTGATGCCATTCATACAACCTAATACTGTGCTAAAGAATATAAAATAAAAGAACAAACAAATAGAAGAAAATATGCCAGAGATTACCTCAACTGGGCTTTTTACACCTCACACCGATTCACTACATCCAATGACGAGAGATCTATAATCTAGCTTTAATCTCAAACTGGGATAGTTGATTTAGGCCAAACTATGTAACCACCACTAAAATCTTTACTAAACCTTAACCCCCAAAATTAACTTAGGCTTCCTTCTAATATTTTCAACCCTTAGTTTCTTCTTAGGTCTAGAGAGGAGAGAGAGTACTACCTAGGGTTTTGGAGAGAGAAATTTAGAGAGAGAAATATGGAGGAGAGAGAGTAGGGCATGCCCCTCTAAAAGAGAGAGATGAGAGAGAGACTAGGGGAGAGAGAGAGAGGGTGTGTAGAGATGGGGGTAGAACACCCCTATTTATAGTGAATATTTAGGTTTAGGGTTTTTTAGAGTTTTGCCATAGTTTGCCTTTATGAGATTGAATTTAGACCGTTGATCAATATGACTTGTGGGGTGAGAGATCTGAGCCATCTATTCCATAGATGGGCTATCAACACTATGGAAGGTGCTTGGACTATTATCCCTATTTCTTTAAACCATTTTCCCATCAATATATTTAAATAAAATAAATATCATACATTCCATAAAATTGCATGATCCATCTCACATATTTCATAAAGATATATCAAATATTATCAAATACTACCAAATATAAATAAGATAAGGTCAATATTTACTATGTATTCAAATTGACCATATGCCTTTAAAGCAAATTTGCTATAAAACAAATAAAGCCATGGTCAATATTTCCCTTCCAAGATTTGACAACATGACACAAATCAAAGTTACCATAACTTAAAGACTTGAACGCAAAGCAAACAAAGAATCTAAAGGGTGGGGCCTGCCACCATTTTGTGGCACATGTGGGTTCCCATGGAATTTTATAAAATTTTTTTAAATTAAATAAAACTAATTAATATATATTTGAAATTTTACAACTTTGTAAAATCAATAATTGTATTTTTATAAGTTCAAAAATCATAAATAAAATATTGAGAGATTCATAAAAATTCAAATAATAAAACCAAAATCATTTCAATAATAAAATAAATACAATTAAATTAATATGATGGAAAAATGATCCATATGGTTTTAGGAATTCAATCTGTAATAATGGGGTACTCCACCTTCAATTGTGGACTACATACCACACTAGCTCTATCGAACTGACCTAGTGTTTTTCATGGCCCACAGTTCAAGCAGGGCTCATTAGCGGGTCACCGAAGTCAGATCGATGAATCAAGGGATCGCAATCCCAGTATGTGGATTACAGGTCCTCCCTTAGAGACAAGTCAAGGTTACCACGACCTGATGTGACTACAGCTCTATGGCTCATAGGGGTATCTCTCACATATGCATACGCTTCACCTAAAAGTGGATATCTGGTTTTTCCGAATGATCTATCGATATGCATGCCGTGTGATGGAACATGGATGAGGTTTTGGCTCTCGTCTCAGTAAGCCTACCATCACACACAAGGGTCACACAGTCCATCGACTCACTCATCTAGGCATGAGCTCCGACCTCATCAAGGGCTAACCCAAAACCCTCATCGGTTAATTCTTTATGCCCAAGTACCCTGGGTTTTTCAACTGACTGGCATAGATCGATAAACACAGTCTGGTATAAGCAACTATCATTCGTTTAGTATGGTCCTCCAGGGACCACACTTCTACTGAGTTCATATCTATAATAAAAATATTTCACTACACACTCATAATGCCTTTAAAGGCTACGTAAACCCAACACTAAGTGCTCACAATTGAGTTTTAGTCAACAAGGACCATCTTTGGTATGCTCCTTTATTTAAACAAACTTAGAAAGGAATGATTGGCTCGCATAGCCAAGTTGGACAACCACAAGAGCTGTCAAAATTAGCTACACACTAAAAATCCCGAGCGAGACAAAAGCTCACAAATATTCTTAAAAATCAGTTACACATTCTTACAAATTGCAAAGTCCACGCTCAACTCTCTCATGTACAACTTATCTTTCAGTGGGTTGGGTATCTTCTTGCAACTTAAAGGGGAATAGGGTTCTCTTTCAAGTTGAATTGCTTCATTGTCTCACACCTTGGCTTGAGACGCACATCCCAACCCCATTTATAGTGAGAGGAAGGTCTCCCTCATGCCCTCATTCACATAGATATAACTTCATCATGAATGAGGTAGCTGTTAGAATACATGGTGCATGCCCTCGTGGGGTGAACTCTTCATGAAGAGGGTATAACTTTCTCGACTCTCTCTCATCCCTCACGGAGCGGGTATGGTTAACCCTTAGGTGTGCCCTTCAACCAGGGGTGCACCTCATGCTCACATTTTCTAATTACCAGTCCTCCCTCTCTATCTATCAAAAGGAAAAGTAGTTTGTGCATTAGGGGAACACATCTCCATTGTAGCTACATTGACACATTTAACCCCCATCTTGTAGATGGATGTTAAAAGATGGTGGCCCAACCAAAACATAAAATTGATGGTGTTAAAATTATATAAAAAATCCTATATTTTTTTTTAATTTGTTTTTCCTTTTTCAGATTCATGTTAATATTTTTAAGTCTTAAATTTTTAAATCCAAAATCCGTATTTAAAATTGATTTTAGAGAGAGGATTCATAAACAGCTTGTTTCTATCTAAAAGACCCAGTTCCATTGGATTTACCATTTCGCTCTCTTGATAAAAAGAGAGAGAGAGAAAAGGGTGGGATTACTCGATAACTAAATAGCTTCTCGCTCGCGAAGAAGACATGGATTGAGACCTTCATGGCAAGAACCTTGATCACACCCCATTTTCCCAACATCACCGACGACTTGCATTAACGTTTCGCCACCAAGCGGAGTCAACTCAGCTTGGCCCAGTAACTCGGGGTACATTAAAAAGTAGGTAAAATTCTAGAAAACATATAAAAATATGGAATTGAGCATGAAATTTTTATATATAATTTGGGTGTTGTTGGTAAATATAATTTTTTTCTCTTAACATGCCCTAACTTTACGTTTTATTTGTTTGGATTTTTTTAAACGTTCCAAATTATAAACCAATTTTCTTTAAATTCATATTTTATATAATTTTTTAAGCTATTTTGGACTTTCTAGATTGTTTTTGGTTTTTTATGACCATTATTATATTATATTATTTTTAATATTTTTAATTTTTAATATTTCAAGGGCTTTTGGCCCGTAGGGTACTCTGCGAGTCCACTAAAATTCGCCTGGGATCAAGGCCACGTACTTGAGTGAAAAAAATCTGGAAATTGATCAGCATTAACAACTAGAAGTAAAGCCCAAACGAGCATAATAGTACACGATACAAAAACTTTCCGTGCATTCTCTATGGGTTAGAACAAATTTATTCCTCAATATTGAATAGAAACCATCCGAAGGGTAAGATCTAGGTGTTAGAAAATTTAAAATTTTTATTTTAAATATACTAATCTAGTGATTTTTAGGCGATCCTCAAAATTTCAGATAAAAAAAATTCTTCGGGTCCTTTACTAGAAACAGTGAGTACCGGCGGGACCATACGTATCCTATTGCCTTTGCGGAAAGCCATTCACGGAAAGCCAGACTCAGCGGCTGCCAGCGAGTAGATGGTCATGATTGGTCACTGTTAATTAGGCAGCCGCCTGCCTAATTAACCCATGGTTAACTTATGGTCAATCATAGCAGGGCCTGCCCCTCTATCTCTCTCTCTAAACTTTCTCTCTCTAACCCTCTATTTGAGGGCGGCAGCGCCGAGTCGATTGCTCGACTCTTTTTTTTGCCCTCTCCTCTGTTGAAAGCGCTGCGTCTCTCTCTACTCGCCCTCTCATGGGTTCTTCCTCTCTAAGTCGTTGGTTGAGGCCCGAGGTAATCTCTCTCTCCCATGTTCTTGAATCCAATGGTTTTCCCCTCCTATTTTTATACGTTCATGGACCTCGATCTCATTCATCTCTCTCTCTCTCTCTCTCTTCTGGTGTAGGTTTATCCACTGTTTGCAGCGGTTGGGGTTGCGGTTGGCATCTGCGGTTTCCAACTGGTTCGTAACATCTGCATCAACCCAGAAGTCAGGTAACACTCGCTTTTGAGCTTGTCATTGAGATTGATCCAGTTTCTAGTTTATTGAAACTACTGATCTTGATTTGCTCTGTATTTATTGGACGACCATTTTCTTGGCTTTGCTAGGACATATGTTCATCTCTATTTATTTGTTGAAGTTTTTATTGATTTTGTGGCGTGGAATTATCTTGTTCCTCTTTGTTCCTCTCTTTTTTTGTGGATAAATTATCTGGTTAATCTCTTGATTATCTTCTTCGCTGGTCTGTTTTTCTTGAATTATGTGACGTGGTTAATCTCTTGATTATCATCTTCTCTTGATAATTATTATTCAGATCAGATCATCTTGTACTTGTTTCTTGACAATAATGAAGTTTTAAGATTGAAGCAGGATGTTGTTCTGTTAAGAAAAGAAGCGGTTCTGTGTTTCAGAAGTTATCTGTTTAGGTCGCAAAATCACCAATTTCTTTTCTTTAAAAGGAAAAGACATGTGTAGTTCGTCTTGAAGGATATTTCTCCCTTTTTTTTATAGAGTCTAAGATTTAGATAAGTTTGCTGGGATATGGCAGCTTCTCCTATTTGTTTTTTCCTTTTTTTTTTTTTTTTTTTTTTCTTCTCCTCTTTGCATTTTTGTTTTTGTTTTCCTTCTTTTTTCTCTGCTCTTGGTAACTGCCTTAGTGAAGGAAGTTAACCTGGAGATAAATGTTAAGATTGAATGGGAATAGCTTTCTTTTAAGGGCTTTTAAGTATCTATGACTGATCAAGAAATAGAACACTGCCCATTGGTGCCTCATCACTAGCATTGGGTCATACCACAACTAACAATGCTCTTTGTCCAATAAGTAGTTGAAATTATATAATTGAATACATCTCGTTTTTCTGTTTTGTGTGGTTACATGTACTTGTTTATGTGTGCACCCACACAAACACACACACTCATGAATGTGAACACACTTGGATATAATGGGCTTATCAAAGTGCTTTATAAGTCCTAGCATGTTTGAGCATTTCTTTGCATATCTTCTTGGCTAAGATGTTATTTTTCTAGAATTAATAACCCCCGCAATATCGCCCTTACTTTTTTTGGATCAGGTCTAACTTCTCAAATAATTCCTTCATAACTTTAGATTGGATGTAGAGTTCTTTATCTCTTTTAAATATTAATGCCATTTTTCTCAAATGATGATCTCCACTTGATCACCATGTTGCCCAACATGACAACCATAACAATTGAATTTGACGGGCTAAAATTCCTTTCCACAAATGTGGAGTCTATTATAACTTGGCAATGATTCTTGAGGGTTCGTGATTGGAAGTGATGTCTTTGCAAATTGTTCCTCCCAATTAGAGTTGAAAAAAATATTGTAGTTATGCATCATCGGCTTAGATTTGTTGTGGGACTGAAAGTTGTGGGACTGAAAGCATTGCTCACATGTTGTAATTTTGAATAATAAATGACAAAGTCTCACCTAAGGAATTAAGACTCTTGTGTGTGCAGCCAACATCCCTGATGAAGAATTAAAAGCAAAAATCAATAATAATCTTATAATAATGTTGAAATCTTCTTTGAACATCCAGGGAACACATTTGAACCACATTTGAAGCCCCTAGCAATGTGCAATTCTACATGAGGATCCTCTTCCTCTCTAATTATGTCTTTCGGTTTGTATATTGCAACTCTTCTAGATCACTAGCTAGGGCCTTCAGGACCATCAGGAGAAAAAATTTGGCAAATTGCAATGTTAAATTTGGATTTTTATTCCCGAATGCTTTGCAGATACCTCTTAGGTGGTGTATGGATATAAAGATATATTCGCATACTTTTTAGCTTATCCCTCTCTTCATGGAGTTCAAATACTTTATTTCTTTATCTTTCTAATCGATTTTCAGTTTTCCCCACACAATTGCCCTTGCTTATCCGCTTATAAAAACTTCAAAAGTATACATGGTGGGATTCAAACCTAGTTCATCCCCAAGCCATATCTCCATGGTGAGATTTATACCTAATTCATCCCCAAGCCATACCACACCTTCCAGGCTACCACCCTTCTGAATACCATTCATGTGAGAAAACAACCTGAACAAGATATGCATAAACAGAAAGATTCGGGTAGGACCAGAGTTTTTCAGCTCTATATTTTTGAATTTGAGAATAGTTTTTTAGCACTGTTGCCAATAACATGAGGAACTCCAGCCTGCTTGATGTTTCCTTTTGGACATACTTTCTGAAAATAAATAGAATATCGGCCTTTGCACCATGCCTTTTCAACCTGCCAATATTATGTCAAAAGAAAATAAGAATACCAAGAGGGAAACAAATATCTTTTAGCTCTTGTGGTCCTATTATCTTCTTCAAAGCTGCCAAGTTTGTTGGTAATTTATCCCTCTAGGGACTAAGCAAAATGTGCCAACATCCCCCTCCTCTGAGGAGTGAATTGAATCTGAAAATAATCTTGTTAAGTGCATCTTAAAAGAAATGGTTTGTCGCCACAAAACTTGTATGGTTATGTGCATGGTGTCTTGCAAAATTGAAGAGTTTTCATTGAGCATGGGCTATTGTAATAGCAGCTTCCTTGGTTTGCTGTATGTCTAATGGCAGTCACACCTAGAATTTTGTTAACTGTAACTAGGCACAATGAGAGGGGGGGGGGGAGATTTTGGCCTAATACCAATTTTATATGTGAAGGCTAAGGGCTCGTTTGGATTCATGGGTTAACAAACCTTGGTTTTGAATCAAAACCATGTTATGTCAAACCTTGGTTATGTTAAAACCTGGTCACTCAAATAGGACTTATTTGGATAGCATTCAATGGTACCCAGGTTATGCAAATCTCGTGTTTGGATGATTTTTTGTATTACCTGGTCTGCTGTTGCACATAGAGAGAAATATTTTTAGCTTTAAATTTTGAGATAGTTTCCCTTTCTAAAAAATTTGAGATAATTTATCTCTCTAAAAAATTAATATTTAATATAGTTTCTCTCTACAAATATTTTGAGACAATTTCTCCATCAAAAAATTTGAAATTTTAGATAGTTGACAATTTCTCTCCAAAATTTTTGAGATAGTTTCTATTTCTAAAAATTTTCAGGTAGTTTCTCTCTCAAAAATTTGATTCTCTCACTAAAGTTGTAAGATACTTTCCCTCTCTAATAATTAAAATTTGAGATAAACTATCTTTCTAAAATTTGATATAGTTTTCACTCTCTAAATTTAAGATTCTTTCTCTAAAACTTAAACTTTTAAGATAGTCTCTCTAAAATTTTTGAGATTTTTTCTGTCTAAAAGATTTTAGGTAGCTTTTCTCTCTAAAATTTGATATAATTTCACTTTCTAAAATTAGGGGTGGCAATGGACCCGGACCAGACCCATACCCACGGGTATACCCGACATGGGTCCGGGTATGGGTCCAAGTTTTGAACCCGCGGGTAGGGTCCAATAAAGGATACCCAGATAGTCCTGGGTCCAGGTACAGGTCTTGCTATACCCAAACTCCATTGCCATCCTCCCTCTTTGCAATTCTCCCTCTCTCAGTTTCTTGGAGACAATTTTCCCTCTCTCAGTTTCTTGGAGACATAGCTCTCTTTGGATTTCAAATGTCTCTCTTGCTCTCTCTCTAATTGCCCACCACTAAAAAATCAGTTCTCCATTGTAGGCTACAAAAAAGGAAGCTCATAGTGATGGTGGCAATGGCCCCGACCAAACCTGAGACTCGACGGTATAGACCTTGGACTTGATGGGTACGGTTATGGGTCCAACTTTTGTACCCAATGGGTCGGTCTGGGTCTGGGTCTGGGTCTAGGTCTAGGTCTGGGTCTGGGTCTGGGTCTGGGTCTGGTTCCAGTCGGACCAGAGCCATACCCGACTCATTGCCACCCCTTATCTAAAATTTTATGATACTTTCTCTCTAAAAATTAAAATTTGAGATAGTTTCTCTTTCTACAAAATTTCAAGCAATTTTTCTCTCTAAAATTTGATATAATTTCTCTCTAAAATTTTCAGATAAGTTTTCTCTCTAAAACTTAAAATTTGAGATAGTTTTTCTCTCAAAAATTTTTGAAATAGTTTCTCTCTAAAAATTTTCAGGTAATTTCCCTCTAAAATTTGATATAGTTTCCCTCTCTAAAATTTTAAGGTACTTTATCTATCTAAAACTTAAAATGTGAGATTTTTTCTCTCTAAAAATTTTGAGATGGTTTCGCTCTAAATTTTTTTTGGTTAGTTTCTCTCTCTAAAATTTGATATAGTTTCACTCTTTAAAATTTTAAGATACTTTTTCTATCTATTTAAAGCTTAAAATTGGAGATACTTTCTTTCTCTAAATTTTTTGAAAAAATTTCTCTCTAAAAAATTTCAGGTAGTTTCTCTCTCTAAAATTTGATATAGTTTTTCTCTCTAAAAATTTTAGATACATTTTCTCTCTATAACTTGAAATTTGAGATAGTTTCTCTAAAAATTTTGGGATAGTTTCTCTCTCTAAATTTTTTTTGGTAGCTTGTCTCTCTAAACTTTGATATAGTTTCTCTATTTAAAATTTTAAGATACTTTCTCTCTCTAAAACTTGATATTTGATATAGTTTCTCATGCTAAAAAATTTGAGACAGTTTCTGTCTCAAAATTTGCAATAGTTTAATAGTTTATGTCTAAAATTTGTTGTAGTTTCTCTTTCTAAAATTTTAAGATACTTTCTCCCGCTAAAACTTAAAATTTGAGATAGTTTCTCTCTCTAATTTGAAAGGAGGTTTTTGCGTGATTAATTTTGTTTATGAAAGTGGGCAGCTCCAGTGTGTGAAAATAATATCATCAGTTGTAGTATATTGTATTCCTTCGTTCATGCTTACACAAAATCATGGTTTGGATAACCCAATTTTTTTCATGATTTTGTATACCCATGGTTTGGCCTTCTTTCGTGGTCACACAAAACATGATTATGTATCCAAAAAAGTTGCCGAAAATGTTTTTATGCAAGATACCCTCGGTTATACAACATGGTTTTGGATACCCTAGGATCCAAACGACGCATAAAGGAGGATATGGCCCTTTCATCTGCAAAGGCTCTCACTGAACTGAAGACTGTCCGCCATGAAAGCAGTCCACAATATAATTAACAGTTGAACTGTTACGTAAAATTGACTATCATTGCAAGTTTGGCCCCCAGGCCTATGTTGTGTGATGTCCATGTAACTCAATTATTGTCTAAATGCTTGTGAATGCATCCACATGTTTTGAAATGAAATTGTGTGCTCAATGGTAAAATAACTATGTCTTTAAAAACTTGGGAGACTTCAAATATTTAGTGAAAATTCTTCGAAGTAGTATGAGTTTCAAAAATTCAGACTCTCACTTGGCTGGAGTCCTGCGTGGTTCCATGTTTTAGTTGCTAATAGATTATCCGCACTTTCAATACAATGTTACCGCTGGTGTTTGAGCCTAAGGCCTTCTAGAATTTGTAAACCATTCCTCTTTGGTTTGTGTGTTAATTTTTCTGATTCTTTTTGTTTAGGGTGAACAAGGAGGCGAGAGCTGCGGGGATACTTGAGAACTTTACAGAGGGAGAGAGGTACGCCGAGCACAGTCTGAGAAAGTTTGTCCGCAACCGATCCCCAGAGATCATGCCTTCGATCAACGGTTATTTCACAGACCCTAAATGAAACCCTCGCTTTCTCTGTCGCGATAAACAAACATGGCATTAATGCTTTCAGTGAGTCAGGTCTCCATTTTAATTGTCTGCTAAACTCTTGTATGTGTTGCGAAACAGCAGATTGATTTTAGGGTAGTTTGAGTTACATGCCATTGTCGTCAATCAAAGACTCAAGCTTTGCAATAATTTGGACTTACCTTCTGTTCTCTTTATTGGTTTTGGATGTGGGGCTCATTATCCAGTCTATATGATTATTCTCAGCTTTAAGGAAATGTTTTGAACTTGGATTCTCTCTCTCGCTCCCTCATCCTCACCCTCACCCTCATCCTCATCCTCTCTCAATACATAGGTCTTCTGGTGATCAATTACTTCTATTGTATAGAAAGACACTTAACGACCTGATCACAACGCACAGCCAATTTAAAAAAAAGAAAGAAAAGGGTTAGCCCCTACCCATCGTAGGACTTGTTGTTACTACTGCCAAAGCCCCATCTCATTCTACAAATAGGTTTTCTCAATTTTCTCTAAGCCACAAATAGTGTTAGCTACCCATGTGCGGAATGATGCATACCTAACTAACACTTCACTGGAGTTTTTTTGTCCATCAAAACTGGGTCTAATGCTTTACCAGTGGAAAAGTATAATCTTAATTACAAGTTTCAAAAAAAAAAAATTCTTAACTTACAGTGGAAATCGATGACAATCATTGTCGCTCGAAGCATAATTGTACTATGAAGATAGTGTGGAACCATGAAAATGCTTTTCAATGGTCACGAGAAATAAGCATGGTATCCCTCGTCAAAGACTAATGGTTTTTGCCGTGATCTGCGTATCAGTAAAATCCATGCCCTCACATATTACATGGGCAGTCCTCACATATTACATGGGAAATGATGCAACATCTCTATTATAATATAATGTAACCATACTTCTAGAAAATATTATAATATAATGCATCCACATTTTCAGAAAATCATGTGTGTAGCATTTGTATGACTTAAAATTTTGTACACTCTTTTCATCTCAATAATCAATCCAAAAAAAAAAACTTCGATTTGAATCCTAGATATGATCAAAATGAGTCCCTTCCAACAATGAATGTAGATCATTCATTTGGTGAATTTCAAGATTTTAGTTTTTACAAATTCGAAATTATTTTTTTCTTTTTTAACATTGTTCATCTAATGATGATAAAGCTATCTAAAAAAATTTAAAAAAAAAAAAATCCTTGAAAAGCCTAGATTTAAACATCTTATCAAAATGAATGATCTATGTTAATTAGGTTAAAAAAAATATTTTTAAGATTGCGTTTTCAAATTTTACTTTTGTGATTGTTCATTAGAATTTTAAAAAAAGTGTATATTTTAAATTTTGGTTCAAACAAATAACCCTAACATGATTTTTGAAGGTTGTTGCATTATTATTATATGACGGTTGCATGAAATATTCTCCCATATTACATAGACTGCATGCATAATAAAAATGGTGGCACCAAACGGGGAGAGACGGATTCCCAACTACAGGAGGCCCTTTACTATATGGCTAAGAGAATGACTTCATTTATATCATCGATGAAAATCCAAAGGAGATCATGAAAAATCCAAGCCCACACATGTAGAAATGCAGGCCCCTTTATAAATTTATTTTTGAGATGGATTTTTGGGCTTAATTTTTAAGGATATGTAATTTCTAACATGGAGATCATGAATATGAAAAAATAAATAAATTTCAAAAGCTAAAAATAATAATTATGTTAAGAAAACATTTGGACCGTTAATTTCAATTGTTTTTAGGTGACCATATATTTGCATCCATCTTTAAGATGGATGCTTTATACTTCTGGACCGCATATGTAGCAATTTTGTCCGGCCTGCATGAAACAACTTTCCTAATCCGAATAGTGAATTTTTTTTTTGCATATCGTCACAGCATGATCCATATCACCCACAAATTTTAAAAAGTGCAAGTCGCTTATAAAATAAGTATCGTTGCAAATTTCACCTATCCATGCCTTCCATGTTTCTAACATACCAAAAGAAAGCATCACCAAAATTCTGAAAGACATATCAGGAAGCACCCCACTAGCGGAGTGAAATTAATCCTTCCGCAGCTCAACATACTCTCTGCGAATACCCTCAGAGTTCACAACGACAATCTCAACCCGGTCACCCTGCATGGTTAATCATAAATTCATCATTTATCCCACTAAAGATAAATAGCATGAAATTTTGATGAGGGGAAATTTGATAGAAACTTTTTGGGAGGAAATATGATAATGAGGGCCATAAAAAATACGCTCACCGTGTATATATCCCTCTCTGCAGCAGATGCAAAAACATCTTTTACCATATCAACAGCTTCTGTCTCTGATAATGGCGTTATGGCATCCTGCACCAATTATATTGTTCCCTCGGTTTTAGACTACTGTATCTTGGTTATGGACTAAGTTTCAGCAAAGGGATGGAATAAAGAAAGGATGCCCATTCTCATTACCTTAGCTGGTAATAGAAGAGGACTTGGGGTCTTAAGTTGGTTGTCCAGAACAGGTGTGATGAGTGTTGCACCAGATCCCTGAGCGCTGTATCCTACTCTTTCATATGAACCAACCGCATCATATGTGAACACACATCCTTTGCCTGAAAATGTACACAGAACCACGTAAAGTATGGCGTTATTCATGGAACTCTTTCTTTCTAACTTGACATACATGCATATGCATTAGAAGACTATCAAAACCACTTATTACACAAACACGCTTAGCCTTAAGTGCAATTATTTGTTTGGAATTGGTTAGGGTATGTCATGTCAACACCACCTAATAAATGTCATTATCCATAACCACAAATGTTAAGATACATGTTTTATAATTTTCATGATATCCCAATGTCATGTGGCATTTTGTTACCTCAGTAAAACTACTCAGCAATATTCAAACCCTGTGCAATGCAAGGGCACACAAATGGGTGGGTGGGTGTGTGCGTGCGTGTGCGTGTGCGTGTGCGTGTGCGTGTGCGTGTGCGTGTGCGTGTGCGTGTGTGTGTGTGTGTGTGAGAGAGAGAGAGAGAGAGAGAGAGAGAGAGACGAACTATTACGTAATACGTT